GTTCAGTTGTTTCAGTCATGTTCAACTCTTCATGACCCCATTTGGGGTTTTCTTGGCACAGATACTGGAGTGGTTTGCCATTTCCTTCTCCAGCTCATTTTATAGATGGGGAACTGAGACTAACAGGGTAAAGTGACTTGCCCAGGGTCACACAGCTAGTAAGTGTCTGAGGCCAAATTTGAATTCAGAAAGATGAGTCTTCCTGACCCCAGGCCTGGTGCTTCATCCACTGCAGTGCCATCTAGCTTGTCTGTAATTTACTAAATGCTTATTACATACATAACATTGAAAACCACTACTGGGCCCTGGTGCCTAGGGCATAGTGCCATCTCATTCTCCCTCTGCTCTGCACCAATGCGCATCATCCCAACTGGGTTCCATCCTGGAGAAGGTTAGTGGCTAATAAAAGGGAGGCTGGGCCCCCCCTTCACATATTGTGGCCCTGCTTACCCCCCCCCCCCACTATGGAGCCAAATTCTTTAAAGTTTGGCTTTTTGCTTATGTTTAGTTCTGGGAGGGGGAGGGGCAGAAAGCTACCCAATATGAGTCAGGTATGGGACAGGTGTATATTTACTACACACACACACACACACACACACACACACACACACACAATGCCAAAGGACACCAAAGACACACAGTAGGTATTGACACAATGACTTAAATCCTATTCAGTTTATCCCCAAAAGGCCCAGGATATAGTTGGCTGGAAGCAGGATGGACAACTGTGAGGTGTGCCCTCATATGCGGTTGGATTTAGCATGCAAATGTTCAATTTGGCCAATGAGGGAATCCCACCCCCTGCTCGGACCAATGGATTGGCAGGGGCCTCTCCCACTCAAAAAGTTCAGTCACCTGGCTGATCTTGTTACCCTAAGAATGACTAATGAGTAAAGCTCAATGTTTGAAAGTTATTGCCATGTCCTCTGCGGAACTAGAAAATCTCAGTTCCCAGCAATTTAAGGAAGCTATTCAGTGAGCTGGCCAGTCTGATACTGAGGTCTTGAATTGAGACCAATCCAAAGCTGACCACACCTCTAAAAACAGTTGGGAGCTGGGGTCCCTGACTGCTGCACCAGAATTCTTCTAAATGAGAGAGTGCAGCACAGCTCCCCACCCTCTCCCCCACCCAGGAGCACACCATCTCCTGGGCTAGATACTTCTCAGTGGCCCTGAGAGTTTCTTGACAAGCACATGAGCAGTATACCAGGTCTTTCATGCTAGATGTACCATAGGCATCTCACACTCAACATGTCCCAAACAGCACTCATTTGCTCTCCCTCCAAACTGCTGACCTCAAGGTAGGAGCAGTCAGGCTGCCACAGACTGTTTGCTGGGAGTTGGTCCTGGAGGAAGACTGGAGGACATGACAAGTGTTCCCCAAATCTACCATGCCTGGAGACCCAGACAGTTGAGATCAGCAGAGCAGAAGCAAGAGGAGGCCAGGGCCTGGCAGCTATTGCAAATCCTAGAAGCTGATGACATAAAAGAAAACAGCTTTCTCTCCCAAGCTTCCCCTCTTTTCCCTTTGGTATAGACCTCAAAGGTCCCACATGTGACACTTAATCCTGTCTACCCAGGCTGGAGTAGGCAGTTTAGATCTGTTCCCCTGGCTCCTGGGATCTGGGATGGTAGAAGAGACTACGGCTTCCTGGCTTCCTTCCAGACTCAGCTCACATATGACCTTCTGCAGGAGGTCTTTCCAGTCCCCTCCCTGAACCCTTAGCTGCTAGTTCATCACCTCCCATCTACTCAGCATCTATTTTGGGTGGCCCTAGTCATTTACATGTTTTATATACCCTCCTAGAATGGGAGCTTTTTGAGGGCAAGGCACTGTTTTTTCCTTATTTTGTATCCCCAGCACATAATACAATGCCTGTCATAAAGCATTTATTAACCACCTGCTATGTGCCAGATAGGACAGCTAGGGGTCACCATAGCGCACAGAGCACCAAGCCTGGAGTCAGAGAGACTCATCTTCCTGAGTTCAAATCTGGCCTCAGACACTTACTAGCTGTGTGACCCTGGTTGAGTCACTTCACCCTGTTTGCCTCAGTTTCCTCCTCTGTAAAATGAGCTGGAGAAGGAAAAGGCAAACCACTGTAGTATCTCTGCCAAGAAAACTCCAAACGGGGTCACGAAGAGTCAGACACGACTGAAAAATGACTGAACAGCATGTGCCAGACATTTTGCCAAGAGCTGAGGATAAAAAAGAAAGGTAAAAACTAGTCCCTTCCCTCAAAGAGCTCACCATCTAATGGGGAGAGACAATATAAAAATAACTATGTATCAACAACATGCAGACGGGCTAAATTGGAGATAATCAACAGAAGGAAGGCACTGAGATTAAGGAGGATTGGGAAAAGCTTCTTGCAGAAAGTGGGAGCTTAGCTGTGACTCCAAGGAAGCCAGGAGGCAGAGTTGAGGAGGGGAGAGTTCCAGGCATAGGGGACAGCTAGCCAGAGAGAATTCCCAGAGCTGAAAGATGAAGGGTCTTGTTTGAGAAACAGCCAGGAAGTCAGTGTCACTGGACAGGTACTGGAGTACATGTTGGGGAGTAAAGTGTAAAAAGAATGAGAAGGTAGGAGGGGGCTAGGGGATGAAAGGCTTTGCATGACAACAAAGGGTTTTCTGTTTGATCTCAAAGGTGATAAAGAGACACTGGAGTTTATTGAATGAGCTTTAGGAAGATCACTTTGATGGATGAGGGGAGGATGAGCTGGAGTGAGGAGAGACTTGAGGCAGGCAGACCCCCCACACCCAGCACTGATAGCAATAGTCCAGGCATGAGGTGATGAAGGCCCGCACTAGGGTAGGGGCAGTGTCTGAGGAGAGAAGGGGGCGTATTTGAGAGATACTGCAAAGGTGAAATCGCCAGGATTTGGCATTAGATTGGATACTGAGTTTAAGATGTTGATGGGACATCCCGTTTTTGATGTCTAAAAGGCAGTCAGAAATTCAAGACTGGAGATCTAAAGAGAAGTTAGGGCTGGACAAGCAGATTTGAGATTATCTATACACAGATAATCATTGAATCCATGGGAGCTGATGAGATCATCAAGTGAAATAGTATACAGGGAGAAGAGGTCTCCAGTATAGAGTAGGCACTTACTAAATGCTGGTTGGTTTATTGATTGATTGAGTTTTAGGTGATAGTTGGAGGAGGGCTCTATGATGAAGAGACCAGGGTTGGATTTACATATCTGAAAGCCATTTGCATAGAGATGATCATCGAACCCAGGAGAGCTGATGGTCACTAAGAGAGAGGGTATAGGGAAACAAGAAAGAAGGACAGAACTTAGGGTACACCTATAGTTAGGAGGCAAGATATGGATCATGACCCAGCAAGGGAGACAGCGAAGGAGTGGCTAGATAGGTTAGGAGGAGTACAAGGAGAGCAGTGTCATAAAAACTCAGAGGCAAGAAAGTATCCAAGAGGAGAATCATAGGATTACAGACTAAGAGCTGCAAGGGACCTTATAGATAACTCAGTCCAACCTCCTCTTCTTACAAATGGGGAAACTGAGGTCCAGGGAGGTTAAGTGATCTGTACAAGGTCACACAGATAGTCAAGTGACAGATGCTGGCTAGTCAACAATGTCAAATGCTACAGAGAGGTTGACCAGGATGAGGACTGAGAAAAGTCCCTTGGGTTTAGCAATTAAGAGATCATTGGGGGGCAGCTAGGTGGCGCAGTGGATAGAGCACTGGCCTTGGAGTCAGGAGGACCTGAGTTCAAATCTGACCTCAGACACTTGACACTTCCTGGTTGTGTGACTCTGGGCAAGTCACTTAACCCCAATTGCCTCACTAAAAAAGAGAGAGAGAGAGAGAGAGAGAGAGAGAGAGAGAGAGAGAGAGAGAGAGAGAGAGAGAGAGAAATCATTGAGAACTTTGGAGAGAGCAATTTCAGTTAAATGATGAGGTTGAAAGCTATATTGCAGTGAGTGAAAGGAGAAGTGGAGGCAATGAATTGAGACAGCTTTTTCTAGCCATTTGACCATAAAAAGAAAGACAGTGCCTTAAAAAGTGAGAGCAGACAAGTAGAGGCATGAGCCTGGGCAATGGTGAACCTGGAACTAGAACTTCCCAACTCCAAGATCTAGGAATGTTGGCAGAATGGACAGAGTCCTAGACTTGGAATCAGAGGTTCCTATTCTACTTATGACACTTCCTGCCTAAGAGACATCATTTCTCTGCATCATCATTGCTTGGTAGGTTGAATGGGGATAGATGATAGCCTGTGCTAGAGCACTGACCTCACAGGGTTGTTGTAAGGCTCCAATGGGAGACAATAAAATGGTTTGCAAACTTCAAAAACATATGAGTGAGAAGAGCAGAAGTGGATGCAGTGAGTGTGGTCAGCTTTTTCTAGATGTTTGGATGTGAACAGGCTCTAGAGGTATGGGGATGGGAGGGTCAAGGGAGAAGGAGAGGGGACACCTGGGCTTGTTTGTAGCCAACAAAGGCAAGAGCCCATAGATGGGGAGAGATTAAAGACTAGAAGGAGGGGGAAATGATGGTTGTGAATCTACTGGAGAATACAGGAGAAGATGGGGTCAAGGGTGCAAATAGAGGGGTTTGCCTTGGCCAGGGCCTCATCTTCATATAAGACAAAGGTAAAGGAGAAGATGGAGGATGGAGGATGGAGGATGGTATCAAAGGGTTTTGAGATGTAGCAAAGGGAAGAAGAGCAGTCATGGCAAATGGCCACAATGAAGTATAGGGCGACATCCTCTACTACAAGGACATGGGGAGAAAGTGCTATGGGAGGCTTGAGGAAGGAAGAGATGTCATTTCCCCAGAAGGTGATACAGAGAGAAGGAAGAGTAAAATGATTGGGTAACAAGGGCTGAGGTAGGCTTCAACAATCCCCCATTTGTAGGGACCTATGACTTCCTCCACCTCTTTCCAGCTGTGTGGTAGGAGCCTGGTGAGAGTTAGGCACCAACCTCTGGCTCCTAGTGAACAGGGAGGCTGAAGAAATAGGGACAAAAGAATTGAGTTCAGTGACCCTGTTTATTTAGTCCAGAGGACTTCAGTCAGGCAGCATCTCCGAGAGCCCCCCAAAGCTTTCAGTTGCCCATGGGATATTGATGGGCCCCACCAAATCCCCAGTGGGGAAGCTGAGGCCAAGAGGGGTGGGCAACTCTCAGACCATAGCCTCTACTCCAAAAGGAACAGATCTGAGGAGGGGATCTAGGAGTGTGAGTTGTGGTTGGATCCCATGGTTTCCTGAGTCAACACCTGGCCCACCAGGTCTGGCAGCCAGCACAGTTCTTAGGACAACTCTGGTAAAGGTGTGGGACAGCCCCTACATGCAGTCAGTACAGTCTCGTGGATGAGATAATGACCCCAAAGGCCAGGAGAAGGAAGGGGCCTCGTCCCAGAGCCACCTCCCTCCCTGACTTCCAAGTCACAGGAGCAGAAATGAATAAATATATTGGGGGAATGGGTAGGGGAAGAGAACAGAAGGTAGGGTGCTCACGAAGGAGGTGAGAAGAAGGGAAAGAGTGAGCTGGGTCCTGGCTCTGATGGAGTCAAGAAAAAGGCACTTTTGATTCCAGCTGTTACAGCTATGGAGAAGGGGAGAGAGGTCAGTCCCTGGAGAGGTCCCCAAGATGAGGAAGCCAGGATCCCAAAGGCCAAAGTTTTCACAATGGGGATTCCAGTCCAGTGAGCAGAAGCAGCATAGCAACGTTAACAGGGATGTAGGCCAAGGGCCAACCTGGGGACCCATTCAGCTCTACCTCTACAGGATAGTGGTCACTGATGTTCAGAGCCTGTGGACAAGGAGGAGATTTGGAGGTCATGCCTCATTCTGCCTCAAAACTTGGTCCTTCCCATCCCCAATTCCCAGGACCCTCTTGTTTTCTCCAAACCCATTTTCCAAGCTTGGCCCTTACTCCTACCTCAGCCTCAGTCAGTTGGAAGCTTTGGGGAAATTTGAAGGCAGCAGCCCATTTCACCAGCCCTTGGCAGTGCTCTCCATGAACCACAATTCTGAGAGAGTAACAGGGGGTTGGGGGCGGGGCAGGGAGAGGAAGAGTTATCAGTCGGGGGTTACAGTTGCCCCAGTGCTAAACCCAACCCCTGTAATCTGATCCAGGGAGCCCAGCCTTAAGGCCCAGGCAGGAGGACTGACCGGTCATAGGTGCAGTATGTGCTATCCCTCACAGTTGTGTCCTCCCCATCAGGGATCACCCAAAGGAAGCCTGGATTGGTTCTTAGCACCAGCTCCCCTTGACGCTTCTTGGACAGTGATGAGCAGTCTGCATTGAAGTCCCCAAGTAGTATCACATTCTGGGGACAGAGCAAGAGCTGGGGTCAGGCCCAGGAGACCCAACCTAATACCTATTCCAAATTTGCCCACTAACCCCCTCCTCCAAACCCCTCCCAGACCCCCAAGCTGCCACCACCTCATTCTGCCACTGCTGGGAGACATTAAGAAAGACGATGTACAAGGCATCCAGCTCAGTTGCCACATCCTTGGGGGTTGTGTGCAATGGCACCAGGGCCAGCTTGGGGAGCACTAGAGAGATGAGGAGGGGAAAGTGAGGACCATCTGTCCCCACACCCTCCTTTTGTCCCTCTCATCTCTAGGTTCCCTCATCCTGGACTCCATTTCCTCTGTCCCTCCCCCTTCCTTTTCCTGTGCCCCCTCCCTTCTCTGACCCTATTGCCAGTATTCCACACCCTGGGTTCAAACTGAGCAATCTACACCAACTTTCACATGTTCCAATCACTGGTATTTGGGTAGCCTCCAGCCTCCCCCATCCCCTCTTCCAGATGGTCCTGTAGTGCTGCCCAGGCTCTACTCATACCCTTGCTGGGCAGGCTGAATTGGGCCACAAATGGTTCTCGGGCAAAGACATCCATCTTATCATCATAAACATAGGCATTCAAGACCTGGGTCTTGTGTGATCTGTAGGAGACAGAAGATGGGACAAATGATAGAAAGTATAATTGATAAATACCCAGAAGACAGACTTTCCCTTTTGCATGTGCTCTGAGCCCTGGAAGGCTCCTCTTTGGATATGGCCTTCAAAGCCTGCTGCAGCAGGACAATAGACCTGAAGGTGCTGGCCTACTGAGAGAAGAAAAACAGCAGCAAACAAGGGGAGGCAGAAAGAGAATTAAGAATCTGGACTCTCCACATTCTCCTCTTGCCAGCTGAAAGGTCGGTATGTGGAAGCATGGTGAAAAATTGGCAATGTGCTGCTCAGGATCAAGAATGAAAGCAGGCAGAGGTTTGTAAACTCTACCAAAGCTTCATACACATACAGCATTAACAGAAGAGGGCCTCAACAATGGCAACCAGTGAATAACATCCCCCAAAACTGAAACTGACTCTTTTAACAGACAGGAAACAACTAGCTCCCAAATGACATGGGAGCCACTTCCAAATCCATCACCTGGGCACAAAAATCAACACCAAGTGAAAATAAAGTAAGTATGAGAAGACTCAATTCAAACGGCTCCAAGCTGACAATCAGTTAGTGCTGAAAAATGGGCAATGAAGACAGGAACACATCTCCACATAGTCTAGCAACATTTTCTGGAGAATTATGACTAATCTAATCAAAATACCTTAACAAGGAGATCCAACAGCCTGGAAATGACCTTGGCCAGTTTGATCTCTTTGCCAAAGAGAGAAATATCGCAGCTAAGGGAAACAGCAGTTTAGACTGTGAAGTACTTTATAAAATCTTATAGAAGAAGCTGAGACAAGAAGTCTCAACTCATAAAGCATTGGAAAGCAGTGAAGGGAAAAACACGTTTACAGAAAACTTGACAAGAGACCCAACTAAGCCAGATTAGCCTTCGAATATTTAAGGATGATGTTGGAAGGCAGACCACAAAACAAGTGAAAAATCAGAGAATCTCGGCTAGCATTTCTTTCTCTGTTCAGTCATTTTTCAGTTGTGTCTGACTCTTCATGACCCCATTTGGGATTTTCCTGGCAGAGATACTGGAGTGGTTTGCCATTTTCTTCTCCAGCTCATTTTACAGATGAGGAAACTGAGACAAACAGGATTAAGTGACTTGCCCAAGGTCACACAGCTGGTAAGTGTGTGAGGCCAGATTGGAACTCAGGAAGATGAGTCTTTCTGACTCCAGGCTCAGTGCTCTATCCACCAACCCACCTAGCTGCCCTATTTTTTTCTCTAGACAACTCTTTTCCGTCAATGACAGAGAAGTCATCCATTTCCTTTGTACTGTAACATCATAGTTCCCAATGCACAGTATAAGGAGTGAGACAGCACTGGAAATGGGGGTGAGATGAACTACTAGAACAGACCAAGTACATGCCAAAGAGATTCATGCTGGAGGTGACGAAACTGTGAAGCCATTGAGGGGCTGCTGTTCAAGAAGACTCCGTTACGATTAGATAACATACACACGTAATGGTCCAATTTAGCATGGTTTTGTGATTTTCCCCAACTCCATTCAACAGCATATGAGTAGGAGCAAAGTACACCGATGGTAGGAATAATCCAAGGTTAGGGTTTGGTAAGACACAATCAGCAAGGACAAGGGGCCAAAGGATTCTAGAGTGGAGGATAGTGGAGAGTTGACTGGTTCACCCAGTGCAGGGGTGATGGCCTGAGAAAAAACTGAAGGGCAGAGGCATTGGAGGACATGGGGGAGGACAAAGAACCTTGATGGTCACACCATTGATGCAATCCCACTATACAACTGTTAGCAATATGCTAACCTAAACACTCTCTCCTACAAGGTGTCTTCCATGCATGTGTCAAAATCAAGACTAGGAACCAGGGCAGAGACTCAAAATTCACATTCACTCTAGAGTTCAGGAAAGGGTAACTCACTATCAAGAGTATGCATTGTACAACCAAGGGTTATGCAATTGGGTGCACAGCCCGCAGAACTGGTCCAGCTATGTGAATATACACATGTGCATACACATATGTGTACATCTACACGTGTGTGTGTGTGTGTGTGTGTGTGTGTATCTTGGACACTGTGGATGGACAATGAGCTGGTCCAGAATTTAAAAAAAGGATTTGGGAAATTGTGAGGCATTTTGAATGAGCCCAAGCTTCTCCCTGAAATAACAATCCATCTTTGCAATGCCCTTTTCATCAAGGGATGCTATGTGGCTGAAAATCAAGGCATAGCACAATCTCAGAAGAATGAAAATGGCGGCTCTTCCCCAGGGCCATGGAGACCAGGTCAGGCCTTCTGGTCCTGGGCTTTCATTGGCCTACTGCCGGTCTGTGTTCCTTAGCACTGAACTCAAGCTCACAGCTTCAGAGTTGCAGGGAGGATCATGGAGTTGACACCTACGGGTTTTTCCGCCCTTCGGCTTAACTTTCAAAATAAGAGGGAGCAGGAACAGGCATGGAAGAATCAGAGAGGGACACAGGCACAGAGGCACTGGCCTGCACCCAAACCTGGAGGGAAGGAGGGAGGGAGGAAGAGAAAGAGCTATGCAACCACATGGCCTTTACAGACAAGAAACCAATGAAGAGGTCAAAGAATGAGAGAGGTGGAATATTAGTGACAGCTTGAAGGAAGGGATGTGGAACCTAGACAGGAGAAGGCAAGAAGCAGGTCAGAGATGCCTAACTTCTCTAGGACCTCAGAGAGGAATAGGTAGACCACCCACACCGTCGACATGGGCATAGCAGGCAGCTACACTCACTAAGGAGCAACCTTGACTTAGGTGAACTTTGTAAATAGTGTGTAATGTGGACTTTCTGGGTTTCAGGGGAAAGGTGGAAGCCTGGAAGCCACTAGAGGAGAGAAAGAGGTCACCAGGATTTGAACTGGGGTAACCTCTCAGGAATTAGTGGGAATCAGCCTCTCAAGAGGATTGCTTCTCACTGGTCTGTTGGTTGAAAAACCAGTCTTTTTCTTAGTCTCACCCCATCTGTGCTTTAGAAACAGCACAGTCAACACAAAATTAGCTCAGGGCTAAGGAGGGAGGAAATGGCTTATTTTCAAGTGTGTGTGCTATATGAATCCCACCTTCCCCGTTAAAAAGGTTTAGAGCTACTTCCTGGGGCAAGAGAGGCCAGGGATTGCACAGAGGCCTGGGGGGAGAAAGGGGATGGGAGATAAGTAGAGAGCACAGGTGGAACTAGAGCAGGGCAACTGGAGCTTTGCTCCAAGTTGACACGATTTGGAGGTTACTTATAAACACTTGAGCTTGTAGGCCTGAACAATTGAACTTAGCACCAGGTTAGTAAGAATAATTAGTTGAAACAGCCAACCTCCTTCCAGTGGTTGAGCCTCAGGTGAGTTCCCCCCAGCCCTGCTGCCTTTCCCAGCAGTGGCCTTGCAGTGTCCTGGGGTTTTTGTCTCCTCCCACCCTCACAAGGTGGAGTCCCCAAGTCTGTCTCACAGTAAGCCTTGTGTCAGAAGACCCAAGATTCCTCCTCTCCCACAACTCAATTTGTTTGGCCCAACAAGTCCTCATGGGAGTGTGAGCCTGGGGTGGCCTGACCCAGGGAGAGTGGGGACAGAGATGTTGCACTCACCGGTACACATAGACATATTTCTCCATGTAGGTACTGCGTCCCAGCAGAGGACTACTCAGGAAGCTATAGGGGCCAGAGTCATCAAACCTGATGGAGAAGGGCAGGATCAAAACTCTCTGTTCCCAAAGGTCAGTTCTCCCCAAGCTTTCCAACCTCCCTGCAATGGCTGCTGTACCTCCGTACCTGTTGAGGTCCCTGAGCAGCAAAGGAATGGCATCGCCTGAGGTGTCCACCACTTCCTGCAACACCGTGATGTCACACCGAGCCAAGATCTGTTGGGTACAGCAATGTTCACTGCCCATTGATATTGAGGAGGCCACACCATCCTCTGCCTCAGCCCATTGCCCCAAAGGCATGGCTTAGCCCCAATTTGTTCCACTCAGAACTGGGACTGCTGTGGGTCAAAGTGGCATTTCTCTCCGCCCCTACCCAGTGCCCAGAATTCTGGACATACCTACATAGTATGTCAGAGATGAATGGGATCTTAGAAAATATCCTATCACTTGACAGTGGAAGAAACTGAGACCTAAAGAAATTACCTATTAGGGGCTGAAGTGGGATTAGAAATGAGGTGATCTCACAGAGTCACTTCTCTGGGTCTCAGTCTCTTTTGTGGTGCTCACCTTAACCATAGTTTCCATGATGTGGACCTTCGCCACCTTGGCAACTGTCAACCTCTGGGCATTGAAGGCACAGATCCGGAAGGCACTAGTTAACCCTGCCAGGAGCAGGATAAAGAGCAGCGTGGGGACCGGGCTGGGCATGGCTGCCTACCAAGGAGGGAAGAGACAGGGCATGAGCGTGGAACAGGCTCCAGGTGCTTCCCAAAGGGCTCCAACCCAGAGGAGATGGCACTGGGGCTAATATTGTTCAAGAGAGAAGAAGGGGAAGGACCTGGAAGAGTCACGGGTGGGCTTCTCACTGAATCATCAGGCACCACACAGGAAGGCAGCCATGTGGCTGTCATTGGAAGGTTGGACAAGTTTCAAGGACTGGCCTGGGAGATGGGCAGCCAGTCCTCTCCACACCTGAAAACTCCTATCGCATCTTGAACTTTCAGCCTTCTTCCTGTGGCACAATAGATAAAGTGTCAGATTTGGAGGCAAGACGATTTGGGTGCCAATAAGCTGGGTGATCCTCAGCTCTTAACTACTCCATGTCTCAGTTTCCTCATCTGTAAAATTACCCATAATAGCTATCTCACAGTATTGTTGTGAGGCTCTAACAAGTTGTTTGTAAAAGCACTTAGTTAAAGGTTACGGACTGGACCTGTAAAGAGGGAACTCCTTCTATACTAAACACTAGTTTAAAAACTATCAGTCCTATTATTATTATTATTATCTGTCTCTCCATCCCCATCTATGTATTGTATATCTCTCCCTCTCTCTGTCTTTGTCCCTGTCTCTCACTCTGTCTCTCTCCAGATCTCCGTCCCTATTAATCTCTTTTTAGTAAGAATAATACTACTCCAGCTGCCTGATGCTGGGGAAGCATCTTCACATCCAGTCATCTCACCTGGGGCCTGGGGAATCCAGAAGACAAATTCTCTCCATTTCTAGGGGGTTGGAGGGAATGGAGTAGGATGGGAAGGTCTGTACCTACGATTTCTTTAGTGTCAGGAACTCCTGATGTGGAACCTCCCTCCCCATGAATATGTTTGTAGCTTCTAATATTAGAGAACAAGACATTCGCCTGGGGCACTGAAGAGTTTGAATGACTGGCCCAGGATCACACTGCCAACAGAACTTGAATCCAGGGCTTCTGACTTCAAGGCTGGCCTTGTATCCACTAAACTACTTTGGGTCTGTAGTCATTTTGCAGATAAGGAAACACAGACCCAGCCCCAATTGATAAACGGTCAAAGGATACGAACAGGCAGTTTTCAGATGAAGAAATTAAAGCCATCTATAGTCATACGAAAAAATGCTCTAAATCACTATTGATTAGAGAAATGCAAATCAAAACAACTCTGAGGTACCACATCACACCTATCAGATTGGCCAACATGACAAAACAAGAAAATGATAGATGTTGGAGAAGATGTGGGAAAATTGGAACACTAATGCATTGCTGGTGGAGTTGTGAAATGATCCAACCATTTTGGAGAGCAATTTGGAACTATGCCCAAAGGGCTATAAAAATGTACATACCCTTTGCACTTCTAGGGCTATATCCTAAAGAGATCATACAAGTGGGAAAAGGGCCCACATGTACAAAAATATTCATAGCAGCTCTTTTTGTGGTGGCAAAGAATTGGAAATTGAGGGGATGCCCATCAACTGGGGAATGGCTATAAGAAACGATGAGTAAGAGGACTTCAAAAAACATGGAAAGACTTGTATGGACTGATGCTGATTAAAGTGCGCAGAACCAAGAGAACATTGTACACAGTTAACGTTGTGCAATGAGTAACTTTGATAGACTTAGCCCTTCTCAGCAATGCAAGGATCTAAGACATCTCCAAAAGTCTCGTGATGAAAAATGCTATCGAAGCATACTATTTGCTATTTTTTTTCTTCTGTTGTGTTTTGTTTCCTCTTTCTTGTGGTTCCTCCTATTGGTTCTAATTCTTCCTTACAATATGACTAATGTGAAAATATGTTTAATAGGAATGTATATGTAGAGCCTATATCAGATTGCACACCATCTTGGGGAGGGAAGTTGGGAGAGAGGGGAAGAAAAATTTAAAACTCAAAAGCTTATGGAAGTGATTATTGAAAACTAAAGATAAATTAATAATAATAATTTTTAAAAAATGAAACGCAGACCCACAAAGGTACAAGAAGATAGGAAGAGCCGCCCACTGAGTGAATTGGGCCTTAGCCACCATTCCAAAGGGGTCAGAGGCCCTGCCACCTGCCCCTGACACTCACAGTGCCTTAGTGCTGCTTGCTCATACTCCTCCCTTACCATATTTGTGCTACTGGAGGCCCTCATGTTCTCCTCTGGGTGCTCATATTTGTGCCCCCACAGGCACATTGGTGACCATTTTTCTTTTCCCAAAACGTGTACACAAATATAGAGACATGTTTGTTCACAGCTTTGGACCTGGCAAGACCCTTGGAGAGCAGCCAGTCGGCCCAGACTTGTTCATTAAACAGAGAAGGCACAGAAAGGTTAAAGATGTGCTCAAGATAACACAACGAATCAGTGGGAAAACCAGGGCTCCTGGTCCAGGGGAAAGTTCGACTTCTTCCTCTCTCTCTCTCCCTCCCTCTCTCCCCCCACTTTTGAAGCAGTCTCTTGTAGGTTGGGGGAAGTAAGGGGGGAGGCACGTTCCGTTGGGAAGTGGGTGCTGCCCTCCAATCCATAAGGGGAAAAGAGACCAAGCCGAAGGAGTCTTAAGCATTGGCCACAGCACCCTTGGCAAGAAATGTGCCTGCCTCAGCCCCCCACCCTCACCCTGGCTTTCCCCTCCTTCAAAGCGCCCATAAGAAAATCCTGGCCTCGCTGCACCCCAAACTCCAGTGTCCCCCAAGATCTCAGTGTCTAGGGCCCGCCTCTGGCTGTCTCTCAGGGGGCGGAGGTCCCTGGACTGGACAAGTGAAGAAAAGAGGAGCCCTGCGTCTCGGGGGGCCCAACATAAAGCCCCCAACCCCACCCCCACCGGCTGCCCAGGACATTAGGGGCTAGCCCAAGAAGTATATGTCTGGCCCAAGATCCCAAGCCTGGAGGGGGAGCGCGGGTTCAGGCCAGTCCTGGGGGAGCCCCTCCCCACTCCCTGCCCTGCCCATTGGACCAGCCCGCTCTACCTGAGAAGCCGCTGCTAGACGCGTCTGCCCGCCTGCGGATCCCCGGGTCCCCCCATCCCAGCCCAGTCGGGTTCCGTCTCCCTTTCCGGGCTGGTCTCCTGCCTGCACCCCACCCCACCCTGCTAGCTGGGCGGGGAGAGGAAGGAACGAAGCCTCAGCCAGTCCCCACCCATTCTGGGGCGTCTGAGCCAGGCTGGGGCTGGACAGCCATCTTCCAGAAATGTCTGGACAGAAACTTGAGGAGGCCTAGGGGTGGGAAGGGAATCCCAGGACCCTTAAGCGACTGTGACTGTAGGAGAGAGTCTACCTGCGCTCCCACGCCTCCACAAAGGGCAGTCTGGCCCTGGGGCCAAGCTTCACTTGAATCAAATGAGATATTTGTAAAAAGCCCTTAGCGCAGTGCCGAGTACAGGGTAGCTCTATATAAATGCCTTTCCCTTTCTGTCTTCCTAGCAGCCTGAGTTTGGGCTAATCACCCTTCCCCCAGCTTCAGAGGCAGAGAGGTATCACCTGAAATCAACATTGCTTTGTATACTACAGAGTAAATTCTTGGAGGACAGAGTTTGTTGTTTGCCTTTGTATCCCAGCTCTCAGTGCCTGTCAGACACACAGTACGCGCTTAATCCATGTGCTTGTTGACTGCCTCGCGCCCCCGCTCCCCAACCCAGCTGTTTGGGACAGGAAGCACCTGCCCAAAGCTGGTTGGGTGCCTCCTGCACCCGTGCCACCATAAATAGGGAGCTAAAAGAAGGGACTCAAGCCACTGATTTTACAGAAAAGGAAACTGAGGCCCAGAAGAGGGAGACTTCTCAGAAGGTGTCACTCAGGTAAAAAGGAGCAGAGCTGGGAAGCGAACCCAGGTCGTCCTCTGCCTCCAAATGCAAATGCCTCCACTACATCATATCAGTGATGCCATCTGACTAGAAATCAGCAGCCTCTCCAGAAAACCAAGGGAACCCATCCTAGGCATAGATGTCCAGTAGACATCTGAAACTCAACATGTCCAAAACTGAACTCATTCTCTTTCTCTCTAAACCCTCCTTCTTTCCCTATTAGGTGGAGGGCACCACCATCCTCCCAGTGCCCCAAGCTCACAACCTCGGAGTCATTCTGGACTCCTCCTTCTCTCTCACCCCCCGCCCCCCCCAAGATCCAAGCTGTTTCCGAGGCCGGTCCATTTCACCTCTGCAACATTTCTCCAATACACCCCGTTTCTCTCCTCTGACCCTCATCACCTCACCTCAGAACTATTGCAGTAGCCTGCTGGTGGGTCTGCCTATCTCAGGTCTCTCCATCCTTCCTTCAGCCAACAAAGTGATCTTCCTAAAGCTCAGGTCTGACCATATCACCCCCTCTCCCCCAATAAACTCCAGTAGTTCCCTATTGCCTCCAGGATCAAATATAAAATCCTCTGCTATTCGAAGCCCTTCATAACCTAGCCTTCTCCTACCTTTCTAGTCTTCTCCTTTTTTTTTTGGCTAGGCAATGGGGTTAAGTGATTTGCCCAGGGTCACACAGCCAGTAAATGTCTGAGGCCAGATTTGAACTCAGGTCCTCCTGACTCCAAGGCCAGAACTCTATCCACTGCTCGACCTAGCTGCCCCCTTTCTAGTCTTCTCATACCTTATTCCCTGACCCATACTCTTCAGTCCAGTGATACTGGTCTCCTGGATGTTTCATGAAAAAGACATTCTGTCTCTTGGCTCTGTACATTTTTCTGGACAAAGGAAATACAGTTTCAAAAAAAAAAAAGATTTTTAAACCAAGTTATCAGACCTCAGGGGCAGCCAGGTAGCAAAGTGGATAGAGTGCTGGGCCTGGAGTCAGGTGGACCCAAGTTCAAATCTTGCTTTAGATACTAGCTATGTGACCCTAGGTAAGTCACTTAACCCTGTTTGCCTCAGTTTCCTCATCTGTAAAATGAGCTGGAGAAGGAAATGGCAAACCACTCCAGCCCCTTTGCCAAGAAAATCCCAAATGGGATCACGGAGAGGCAGACAGGACTGAGATTACTGAACAACAACAGACCTCAGGTTAAGAATCTCTCTTCTACCGTAACAACACTATTTTTCCCCAATTCAACAAGCATTGATATTTACTGTGGATACCTAGGGTTTCAACATCACTTTATTCCAAATGTATTGCTGTCCCCTCCCCAGGAGCTATTCTTTGTACAAAGAATAAAAGAGAGAGAGAGAGAAAGAGAGAGAGAGAGAGAGAGAGAGAGAGAGAGAGAGAGAGAGAGAGAAGCGCCTTTGAACAAAGCTAAATGACAGATCACCAGAGCAAGCCACTATGGTCAAATGCAATGGCCCTACCTAGTCACCACTTCTACAAAAAAGGGAAGGATTTTCTCATACCTTCTCCTTTTTGGTTTGGTGTTTCTATTTACATTGTTGTCAATGATTTGTTGTTAACAAACATATCAACACCAGAGCATAAGCATTTATGAAGCAGCTGGGGTGTACAGGTATTCAGGAAGGACTAACACCTCTGGTGTGAGGACTGCTCATCTACCTTTGATGTCTCACCTGTGGCTCAGAAGCTGCAGCCTGCACAGCCGCCACACCCCAGGAAACTGTTTCTGCCAGATGGGCTAAACCAGATTGAGGCTAACCAAGGGGCTTCAAAACCTTCAGTGAGTTGAAGGAGTCTACTTCAAACACATGAAGACTTACCCTGGCAGAATACGCAAATGTGAACAATTTGTTCCAGGCCATGAAGCTAGCAGGTGCTGGCGCTATGGAATGCTTAGAGCTTGGTTAGATATTGAAGATGCCAAAGTCATCCACTGCATCCTGAGTCATCACCAGGCATCTTGACTTTTGTCTTGCCACTGGACTTTGATGACTGGTAGAGAGAGTGAGGATGATGACTTCAAGCAACTCTGCGTCACTTAAATACAATTTATTCAGAAATCAAAAGACATCACCCATACCATTTTACCATTTTTACCTACCTCAGAGTCCTGTGGCAACAGGCAAGTGACGGAGCAACAAGTGCGGGTACTCTGGGAGTCACAATACTGCCCGCAGGTAGCCCAGGGTTGTTTTCTCACTGGACTGAAGCAGCAGTGGGATTCAACAGCCCCCTGGGTGTCTGAGTCTGACTGAACTACTCACCTCCTGATGTGAGGAAGGGTCTAGAAAAAAGTGCCTTAAAAATTTTTTTTTAATTTTTTAATTAAAAAAAAATTTTTTTTAAGGGGGCAGCTAGGTGGTGCAGTGGATAGAGCACTGGCCCTGAAGTCAGGAGGACCTGAGTTCAAATTCAGCTTCAGACCAGAACAGTTGACACTTACTAGCTGTGTGACCCTGGGCAAGTCACTTAACCCCAATTGCCTAAAAAAAAAAAAAAAGGTGCCCCAAATTTTTAGGTGTCTGCTTCACCCAACCCTGGCCTGCTTACTGCAGCAGGCAGTAAACATCCTACCCTGAGGTCAAAACACAAAAAAATGTAGGAAAACTTTTGCATAGATGATTCCACTCACCATCAGTACATGGAATGTGTGCACAATTATGGACCACATGAAATCCAGTAGACCTGAGAGACGAACAGCTGTCATTGCATGAGAACTCATGCAGGTATCACATCCAAATAGCAGCCCCGCCTTTCTTACTTCCTGGCCATCTTGGCAGCAAGTCTCTGGCTGAGGGTCCTCCTGCACCGCAGGCAGGAAGATGGTGGCTGCAAAGAAGACAAAAAAGTTGCTGGAGTCCATCAACTCGAGGCTCCAGCTGGTCATAAAAAGTGGCAAATACATGCTAGGCTACAAACAGACCCTGAAAATGATCAGACAAGGCAAAGCCAAATTGGTCATCCTAGCCAACAACTGCCCAGCCTTGAAGAAATCAGAGATTGAATATTACACTATGTTGGCCAAAACTGGCATACATCACTACAGTGGCAAAACATTGAATTGGGTACATCATGTGGGAAGTACTACAGAGTATGTACACTGGCTATCATTGATCCAGGTGATTCTGATATCATTAGAAGCATGCCAGAACAGACCAGTGAAAAGTAAACTGTACAAAAGTATTCTTTAATAAACGGGCAATAACTTGTTTAAAAAAAAAATAGCAGCCCCAAGTGGCAAATACTAGAGGAGTCACAGACTGTCACACCTCACAGGGAGTCCTTGGGAAGAATGGAGTCAGAAACAGAAACAGCAATGGTCACTACTGAAGACTTAGAGATTAAAATACTGTTAATCTTGCAGCAGTTTCAGTTGAGTACTAGCCACAGTTGAGCTTTGAATTCAGTTGAGTGAGAACAAGATTGTAAGTGTGAGAGATGATCTCTCAGAAGTGAAGCCTCCTCAGGGGATCAATGGTTCTTGTTAATATTTCTTGATTGAAACCCTCCCTGTCTCAGACCCTGTTTTTTTAAATGCTTAGCAGAAAGAATAGTCCTGCCTCCAACCTGAACTGCTTGTCCTTGCAAAACGTCCAGCCTTCTCCTGTCTCTGGGCAAACTTGTGTAACTTCATTATTAGGTTTCCAAAATAAGGACTTGTATTGTTTGGATTGTTTCCTTGTTCTTTGTCTTTGGGAAAGATTTTTCGCGCCTAGAATGTAAGCCCGCCTCCCAGCCAATGGGAACAAGGGAAAGCGGTGGGTGGAGGTTTGTTTGCATTAGGGTATATAATCACATTTTGCTTTCTGTGCCCCACCTCTTTCCTACTGGGAGCCTACCAGAGGAGCAGACGCCCCTTCTCGTGAGATTGTAATAAAAAGTAACCTTTGCTTCCACCTTGAGAAGTCTCTGAGTTTAATTGATTTAGAGTCGCTGTCCCACACATAAGGATTTGAGAAGTGAGTGAAGAGACTCAACATAAAGAGACAGCTTTTTCCTTTTCATAAAAAAAAGTAAATCCTTTTTTATTTTTAAAAATGTTTTTATTGACATTGATGGTGGGGCTATGAATCAGTACAAGCATTTCGGAAAGTAATTTGGAATTATGCAAACAAAGTGACTATACCCTTTGGCCCAGAGATTCACTACTGGTAGATGACTCCAGGGAAGTTGTTGATAAGAAATCTCCATATACATCCAAATCTCTATAGCATCTCTTTTAGGTAGCAAAGCACATGAAACAAAGTGAAT